CGGGGCCGCGGACCTGCTCCGCCACTGGACACCAGCGGCCCGCTCCCTCGGACCCTCCGGACCCTCCGGACCCGGGGCGGCGGACCCGCTCCGCACGGCGCCGGCCGGCCCGCTCCCTCCGGACCTCTCCGGACCGCGGGGCGCGCGGACCTGCCGGCCGCCGGCGCGGAGCCCCCGCACCGCGGAGACCCGCTCCACTCCCGCGCCGCCGCGGCCCGCTCCGTCTGCACTCCCGACCCCCGGCCGCGGGCGCGCGGACCCGCTCGCACACGCCCAGCCCGCGGGCGCGCCGACCGCAGCGCCCAAAACACCGGGAGCCGGCGGGCGGCCGCCCGCGACCCGACGGCCGCACCTCGGGCCGCCGGGGCCCAGACCCGCCCGCCGCTCACCTCCGCCGCCCTCGGGCGCCCGGGCGGGCACGCCTCCGGGCCGCGGCCCCGCCGTCGCTGCCGCTCGCGCTGCTCGGCGCCTCCCGCTCGGGACGCGCCGCCGCCGCTGCTGCCGCCGCCCGGGCCGAGCCGCATGTCAGCCCCGCCGCCCGCTCGCCGCACGCGCGCCCGCCCGCCCGCCCGCCGCCCGCCGCCCCCCGCGCGCCCGCCCCCCGGCGCGCCCCGCCCCCCGCGCGCCCCGCCCGCCGGCCATTGACGTCACCTTGACGCCAGAGCGACGCGCGGCCGAGCGCGGGCCCGGCGGGCGGGAGATCGGGCGGTTGCCAAGAGACTGGCGGCTCTGACGCGCGTGCCGGAGAGGCCGTCGCCCTGGCGACCGCGGGCGGTGACGTCAGGGGCGCCCGCCGCGCCCCCGCCGCCCGCCCCGCCAGGCGCCCCTGCCGGATTTCTCCCTTTTCGGGCCCCTGCGCTCCGGTCGCGGCGCGGGGCCTGGGGCGGGCGCGCTTTGTGGTGCGGAGCCCCGGCCGGCGGGAGCGCGGGCGCCCGTGCCTCGTGCGCTGTGGAGTCTGCGGGAACGGAACAGCAAGACGCGGCCGCGTCCTGCGGGCGCCCGGCCGGCCTGGGGACGCTGCGGCCCCTCCTGCCAGGCCCGGTCGGCCGCCGGCCCCGCGCCCCTGCGCCCGCGCCCCTGCGCCCGCCGAAAGCCCGCCTGTCTCGGCGGCGGAGGCGCGGTGCGGGGCGGACGGCGAATTCGAAGCCGCGGGAAGGCCGCGGTGTGGGAGTTAAGCGCTGTCCGGCCTAGAGCCGCCTTCCTCGTGTCCAATAAGAATGCGCCTTCGGAGAGGGGTGCGGAGCAAGGGCTGGGCGAGGTCGGCGGGGGTCCCTGAGGCCTGACGGCCGCCCTGGCTCCCCAGCCGGGCCGCCGCTCCCACCCACCCCACACGCTCCGGGCGTCCCGGGTCGGTTTGTCTGAACGGCTTGTGAGGAAGCGAGTGGTCCCAAACAGGCTGTGAACGCGGTCTGTGCCCGGTTGACACACCAAGAGTGTGGAGTGTTTTCGGTTCCGGTTGAGCAGCGCACTCCACGTCTGGGGTCCCAACGCCCTGCTGACCTGTTCCTAGGACTGAGCTCAAAGGGAAGAAGCCACGGCGCGATCACACTCGGCCCCTCGCCCTGCGGGATGAGACCCAACGCCCAGGCGTCTGCCGCCCTCCCATCACCCACCTGGCCCAGCGTAGCCAGAGCCTTTCCAAAGGTCACAGGTGTTTGCAAACACCTGGCTGGCTATTTGGAAACGTTTCTTCGGCGTCCCAAACAGCCACGGCTGGCACCGTCTGGGACACAGGTGGCCCTGACCTCCCACCCCCAGCCCCTCCTAAGCTGCCCAAATCCTGAACAGCCCCGTGCCAACAGTGACCTCCTGTCTCCCCTCCCCAGCCCCTCGGGCGAGGAGCTTGCCCTGCAGAGAAAGGCAGAGGAAAAGGCCAACCTCGACCCAGGACTAGCTGTCACCTCTCCCCAGAGGGGCTCCTGGCACCGCAGGGATGAGCCTGTGCTTTCCACACCAGTGGCAGCTGCTCCCCAGCGTCTGCTGCATGTCGTGTCCTTGGCCCTTGGAGGCTGCGCTTCCTTCCAGAATCCTTGAGTTCTCTTCCGTCTTCTAGTCTCCACGCTTCACACACATCGTGAGGAAAAACACATACAGTGTGTGCTTGGAAAGATACAAGCCAATGATTCGAGGAATTCCTCATTTAACATAATGGAAGAGATACTCTCAAAGTCTGCAGGAATGGCACCTTTATTATTACTACAGATTTGTGGGAAACAGTTTTCTTTTCCATTTGGAGTTTCTCAAGCCTGTCTTGTAATTGCAGTTTGCAGCATTCATCTGTGTTTTAGACCTTGAGACTGGGAACCCCATCCACAGCAACTGGGTCCCTTTCACGGTCCTAGTTCAGCCCCTGGGCGCTGGCCGTGGGCATGTCATTAAACCTCACAGTCAGTCCGCAGATGCAGAAGGGACCTTGGCGGTGGCATTTATTCCAGTGGGCGGGTGCCCAGCGGGCTCCCACACTGCTTAAAGGGATGGGGGGAGCATCCTCTTCAAGATAGCTTCCCCTAGCCCAGCCCACTTTACTTTCTCGCCCCTCCTTTCTAGACTCCAGAAGCCCTTCTCTGTTCCCCCGGCTTTGTTTCCTTGGCTTTGGATTTGTGGGTTTTGTTTGTTAAGGCTTTAGCCAGGCCATTTCAGGTACCAGAAAGGAAAAAGCAACCTACTCAGGACTCAGGTGCAGGCCTGGGTCTGCTCTGCCCCGTGGTGTTTGGAGAGTATGACCACAGACGTGTGTGCCCTGGGCCGGGAGGTCCAGCCCCGGCCTGGGATGGGCAGGCAGGAGGGAAGTCCCAAACCCTGGAACCCTCAGTGGGTGGCCCAGTTGTCAGGTTAAGTCAGGTGAACAGGTCCACCCAACAACTGCCCAGCACCACCCTTGGATGGCATCACCCCTGCACTGTCACAGCCCTGGGAGGCGCTGGCTGCATGACGGCCTCAGCTGCTCGGGTCTGGCCGGGTCAAGTTGTCCCATTTTCATCAGGCCAGGGCTGCCTCAAAGGACCACAGATGCTGGCAAAGCAGGCCAGGACGCTCACCTCCCGACAGGGAAAAGTGGAGGGACCTAGGATGAGATGGGGCCTGGGGACATTGGGACAGGGTTGGAGGGGAACGGGAGGGTCTGGAGAGGCAGCCTGGGTGGGCAGAGCGGAATTGGGACAGACTGGCTTTCCCACATTCACCCAGAATTTGCCTGTTCACGGGCTAATTTTGGCCCTTGCAACTCCAAATGTCTAGGATTCCGAGTTCCTGTTTCTGTGTCTGTCCTTAGTGAGGAATTTTGACGTGGCTGACAGGTTTGCTTGATATTAGAGCAGGGCTGCAAGGCTGAGGGCCCAAGAGGCCTTTGCCCGAGTGCTGAAGTCCTAGGGAAGCTGGGGGGGGGGCGGCAGCGAGGGCCCAAACGGGATATCTGCACCCACAGGGGCTCGGTAGGAAGAGCCCAGTCGACAACCTGGTGGTCGCTGGGCCTGACCCGGCATCTCCGGAGCAAACCTGCATCCGTAAACGCCAGTTTCTCGCCATTTTACTGGAGGTGCCAAGCGACTGGGGAGCAAAGTTCCGCCGCCTGATGCACTGCAGAGCGGCAGCCTCTGGGATGCTCCGGCCTGGCGCACACGGGGCCGGCCAGGCCCGGAGCCCTAGGGTGGGCTGGCAGTGTTGCTCACGCCCCTTATTCTGGGCTTTCTGCCGGCCACACGGGCACAGGACTCCTGCCCCAAGAGGGAGTCCTCTGAGTGGCGTCTCGCATTGAAGTGTCTCCGGGTGACCCACTGGCATGGAGCACAGTAAACTTTCTTTTTTTTTTGGTTACTATTCACTCATTCAAAAAAAAAAAAATGTGAGTTTCCACCGTTTGCGGGCAGTAGACGTGGGTAATCGCAACCCCGACTCTGCGGTGAAACGATGACAGACAGAGGCGCGCTTGAGGGCCAAGGTGGGGACACAGGTCCCGAGAGGGAGGTGAGACGTCAAGATGCCAGGGCGGGTTTTGGAATCATCTACCAGAGCGTCCGGATGGGCTCGGGACGCACCTGCTGCCTGTCGGGCCCTGCTGGGGAGGGTGTGGACACGATGGGAGCACACGACCAGACACCTCCCCCGAGGGCCGTCCACTCCGGTGCAGGAGAATGACGCTGGGGACGTAAGAGGAGGAGGACGGCGTTTCAGAGGGCGGTGGTGACAGCGAGTGGGGCTGGAGGGATGGGGTGCTGCCCCGGGAGCGTGGCCTTGGGTGGCGACTGCCTCCCAGGCAGAAGCGGGCCACGGGCCGGAGGCAGCCACGGGCACCTGCCCTTCGACCTCTGAGCAGCGTCTCGGCAGGGGCAAGAAGAGGAGGGGGAGACGAGCTCCGAGCTGGGGAAGGCAGGCCTGGCGGAAGCACCCGCGTTGCCGTCGGCGCCCAGAGCTTGTGTGGCTTTTCCTAGAGCTGCTTGCAGGGCGCACGGCGAGTCCCGGCCTCCCCAGGGCGGGGCATTGCCCAGGTCAAAGGGACGAATGCTCTCTCGGCAGACTGTTTTTTTCTTATAAAGCACTGTTTTTTTTATTTTTCCTAATTGTAAAAATTGATAGAAAATGCTGAGTAGAAAATTAAGAAAATATAGAAATTTGCAAATATGAAAACCAAAAGCGCTGGCAGTGCTATTGGCAGTTGGACGTGTTTCATTAGGACAGTACCGGGCCAGGATGCGTCTTGCCGTGTTGCCGAATGCGGAGCAGAACTGTGACTTTCAGGTGTCCCCCTAGAATGCCCTTGTGGGAATGGACTCACTGTCCCCATGGAATGCAGTGCCAGGGTAGCCACCTTCTCCTCCCAGGGTCTCTTTGAGAGGGACAGCACGGGCCAGTGGCCTGGGATGAACAGATTGTCCAGTCGAGGCCCCAGCCCTGGCCCCGGCTGGCAGAGTGACCTCGGATGAGCCTTTCCTCCCAGATTCCCTAGACTTGCTCCGGGACAGCGTGGCGGGGGTCAGGACTGGCCGCCTGGCCCGGGACCTTGGGCGCAGCCCTGCGGAGAGGGAGGGTTCCCTCTGCACCAAGAGCGGGGGAACTCCTGAGCGAGGGCCCCAGACACCTCTGGGGGGTGGGGCTGTGGTGAATGGGAGCACAGCAGGTCCTGGTTGCCAAGGCAACGTGGAGGCCTCTGCCTGTGGGGAGGACTCAGGAGGTAGGGAACGGGGGAGGAGGGCAGTGGCTGGCTCTTTCAGCGCGGCCCGCCCGCAAAGGTGAGCTCTTTCTTTCTGACCTGGTTTCCATGGTTTGGGGTGTTGCTGTTGTTTGTTTAAAAAGAAAACACGTTCACTGAGGAGGAAGGGAAGACATCGCTGGGTCAGCTGATACAAATGAACATAAACCAGTTCCCAGACCAAGCACTCTGTCGTGACACCTTATCACGCAAGGATGTTGTGACATGGGACAAAGTCCGGTGGCATTAGCACACCATTGTCATGCTGGCATTTCCACTGTGGTCCCTGTTAAACCAGAAAGAATAAAAGTTTGGTGGGAAAAATAAAGTACACTTTTCCTGTAAAACACAGCTCATTCCAACACTGCTTAGAACAGAGTGACAGTCAGACACTGGGAAGGGTGTCTTGGGACCATCTGGGTCAGGAAGAAGGTCCAGCCATCCCTCCCTTAGGGGTAGGATTCTCTGGGTCACCTTGAGGCCTGGAAGGAAGTTTCCAGAACCTTCTTTGCACACACAAAAAAACCCCCCACAGATCTAAAATCAGTGAGGTTCAGGACTTGGGCCAGCAAGATTGGAACCAAGGAGTCTCAGATCCCAAACGAGCTGCGTTGCTTCTGAGTTCTCAGAACCCGGTGCAGGTGCGGAGCTGGTGGAAGAGCCCCCTTTGGGTTTCCCTCAGTGACATCCGGACGGCAGAAGAGAGATGTCACAGAACAATGGGATGTAACACGATCTGTAACGCAGACTCTAAAAGAAGTTCGAGCACTTGATAAAAGAGGAAGCACCTGGCAGCCTGGGTCCGCCCAGCCCACCCCATCACCCCATCATGAGAGAGTCACTGGATCCTCGGGGAAGGTGCTCCCCCACCCCGTGCCTGGCAGTGCCTTGGAGATTCCCAGGCTGACTCTGGTCGGAAGGGTCTTCCTTCGTCCTTACCTGCTGCCAGCAGCCCGGACTGGCTCTGAGCACTCAAGGCTGGTCAGCTACAGCTGGCGCGGTGGAAGGAAGGTGACATCGAAATTCCTGCCCCAGCTCCCAGCCGGCTCTGACTGTCCCTGCTGGGCACCCCGGTGGCCAGGGCCTGGGCCTGGGCCTATGTTTCCATGGCCAGGGTGCAGCCCCATTTCCTGGGCGGACTGTGTGCTGCTCTTCCTGGGCTTTGAGTTTTTTTTTAAAACGAAGCTTGATGGACTTAGGCAGAAATAGGCAAAGCCACCTACTGCGCAGTTAAACTTGGATTAAGTCCATATTTTGTAGTTTGGGGACAGGGATGGGAAAGCATGGGGTCCAGGGAACGGTTTGGCCCTGACGCCCAGCCTCAAGGGATACCCCCAACCCCCGCCATCTGAAGCCTTCCGGGGCAGAGGCCACAGGTCTGAGGTCCCGCCAGCCCTCCCTTGAGGCGCGGGTGAAGGGTCGGGCCGGCAGCTGCTGGAGGCGCCAGAACGAGGGAAGCAGGCACCTCTGGCCAGGCCCCGGTGCCTCCCAGGCCAAGCTTGGGGCCCAGCACGGCTGCTGAAAGACCCCAGGGCCAGGCCAGGCTTTGACCAGCAGCTGTTACTTATTGCTGTTGTGATCACACCTGGACTGCACACGTTCCTGGGCAAAGTCCCGAATCCTCCCTCCACCCCCGAGGGCCAGGTACCGGCACAGGCATGAGGTGCCCGTGTGGGGGCGTGTGTTCTGCTCAGGCTGCGGCCCTCTCCAGGGATGCTGGGTACCAAGCACCCGAGGGTCTCAGCCCTGACTGGTAAATGGGAAATGTCATTCTTGGGGTCACTGTAGCTTAGAGCACCCCACCGGTCAGGGCTCCTGACTGTATCCAAGTGGCACTGTTCCGAGGACCCAGGGAAACGGTTCCCTGTTAGGGTGCGGGGTCTGCGAGACTCGGAAAGGCAGTAACCACAGCCTCGGAGACCCTGGGCAGGACACCGGGCTCCCCACGGCCAGTGTCTGACCCTCAAAGGCCCTCGGTCCAGGTTGTAGTCAAGTCCACATGGCACAGAGAGCCTGATTGGCCGCGTGTAAGTCACGTGACCATGCCCTGGCCACACTGGGGGCTGGGTGAATGGCAGCATTGAGAACCTGATTGGCCATGGTGAGGTCATATGACTGTGCCTTGATGATGGCAGCTTAGAGCCTGATTGGCCAGGGTGTGGTCATGTGACTGCCTTGATGCTGGCAGCTTAGAGCCTGATTGGCCAGGGTGTGGTCATGTGACTGTGCCTTGATGATGACAGCATTGAGAGCCCAATTGGCCAGTTGTCCCCCTGGCCAGCCTGGCTCGGGGATGGCTGTGCTTCCCCAGCCGTGTCCTTTGGGCAAGCAGTGGTCCCAACAGTCACCCCTATTGGGCACCCTCAGAGGGGACTTTGCCCACAGGGCGTGGGGCTCTAAACCCTGCGGGATTCCATCCTCGGGATGGGTCCCAGGCAGAGGGAGACCTGCAGGGGGGACCCAAGCTCAACCACGGGTTGGAGAAGGGGTAGGCTGGGTGCCTCACGCAGCCCCCCAGGGGGAAGGCAGACAGCTAGGAGGTCCTGGGAAGGCAGCGGGGCCCTGGTGGGGCTGCAGCCCAGGCAGTGTCTTCCACCATCAGGGCAAAGGTAGGCTCAGGGCTGCCGAGGCCAGCAGGGGCCCTGGGCTGCAGCCCCAGGGTGGGGGGTCCTGGCAAACCCTCTAGAGGGGCCCCCGTGAACCCTGCCAGGCCCCCGCCCCCGCCGGCCCAGCCTCAGCCGCCTGGGGAGAGGGTGGGGACGTGAATCACTAAAACCCAGCCCCACCCTGGCGCTGGCCGACCTGATCCGCAGCACGCACCGTCCGGGGGATCCCAGCAGTGTTTGTACACAGTTCGCAGGGCCAGGGAGGCCCTGCGAGCCTGTCACACAGCTCTGGGAGATGACATCCGAGGGCTTGGCTTGGTGACACTTCTGTCCCTGCAGGGAGGGGTGGTTCCTTATGCGGTGTGTCTTCCCTGTGAGCCTCTCGGGGTTACCTGGGGAGGCCGGAAACCCAGCTTCTCTCCTGACCCTGTCCTGACCTGCGGGCTCACCCGGAGCCAGTCACTCAGCCTCCTGGGTCTAGGTGTCCTCCCATGTCATTGTCCCCTCTGAGTTAAGCGTCTGCAGACTGTGGGATGAACAGGGCAAGGAGAAGCGCTACAAGGAAGTGGAGGGACACAAGGGGTCCCCAGACAAGAAAGAATTGCCACCTGCTCTGCACACGCCATGGCAGCTCCACGGCTGGGCCACGCCAGAGAGGGTGGGAGGAGGCGGCTGTGTTCGCCCTGCCCAGATGCCACTGGGAAGCACCACGGCCATAACCAGACCCTCACTACCAAAGTTAAATTGTTTTATTACTTCAAATAAAATACTTTTATTACTTCAGTAAGTTTGTTGGCCTGTGTTGGGCATTATTATTACATCTAACTAACATTAGTTTCAAAGATTAGTGCACATTAAGTGATTTGGAACTTGAAAAGTTTTTCCTGGTGATGAAATTGAATATATGGCAATTATAAGAAATAGATATAAAAGTAATAATACATAAGAAATAAACAATACAGTTAAGATAATCCATAATAATTCTAGCAGTCAGATATCAACAATATTAATATTTTGGTGAGTGTGTTTTTCTAGTTGCCTAAATATATGTTGTAGTTTTTTGTTTGTTTTTAGATAGGGTCTCAATTTGTTGCCTGGGCTAGAAAGCAGTGGCATCATCCTAGCTCACTGCAGCCTCAAACTCCTGGGCTCAAGCGATCCTCCTGCCTCAGCCTCCTGAGTAACTAGGACTACAGACACCACCACACCCAGCTAATTTCTCCATTTTGGGCAGAGATGGGGTCTCACTCTTGCTCAAGCTGGTCTCAAACTTTTTTTTTTTGAGACAGAGTCTCACTTTGTTGCCCAGGCTAGAGTGAGTGCTGTGGCATCAGCCTAGCTCATAGGAACCTCAAACTCCTGGGCCTCAGCCTCCAGAGTAGCTGGTACTACAGGCATGCGCCACCATGCCCGGCTAATGTTTTTCTATATATATGAGTTGGCCAATTAATTCCTTTCTATTCTATAGTAGAGACGGGGGTCTTGCTCATGCTCAGGCTGGTTTTGAACTCCTGACCTCGAGCAATCCGCCTGCCTCGGCCTCCCAGAGTGCTAGGATTACAGGTGTGAGCCACCGCGCGGCCTAGTCTCAAACTTCTGACCTCAGGTGATCCTCCCACCTCGGCCTCCCAGAGTGCTGGGATTACAGACATGAGCCACACACGCCTGCCCTGTCGTAGATCTTTTAAAAATAAATTTGGATTATACCCCATATTAACAGTTTTATATCCTGTTTTTCTGTTTATAGAAAGAGAATACCTTGTGTCATATATTATTTAAAGACATCATTTTTAATGTCTAATGTTTGATTATAGTCTAACATAGTCTCTATAGTTCCGATTTATTTAACATTTCTCGTATTTTTAGACAATTATTGTTTCTACCCATTCTAACAAACAATGTCATTGTGAGCATCTTTTCCATAACTCTAAATTCCTATGTGAAATTTCTCCTTATGATAAAGGCTTAAAAATAGAATTGCCAAGTTAAAGAGGATAAATTCTCGTAAAGCCTTTGTTACCTGTTGCTAAACTTCTAGGTGACTCCTGACCTTAAACTGTGCCAACATTTAAGCATTTTCATTAAAAAAGTAATTTTGTTAAATTCAGAAGTTTTAACGTGTCCCCCAAAGTCCGTGTGCTGGGCGTGTGACCCCCCCGTGCAGCAGCGTTGGGGGATGGGTTCTGACAGGAGGTGTCGGGGTGAAGGGGTCACTGCCCTCAAAATGGATTAATGCCATTATCTCAAGAGTGGGTTCTTCATGCAAAGACCAGTTTGGCCTCCTCTTGCGTTCTCTCTCTCTCTCTCTCTCTCTCTCTCTCTCTCTGTCCACCCCCTGTCCCCCTCTCTCCCTTGTCTCTTCCTCTCTCGTCCTTCTGCCTCCACCATGGCTCCTGCAGCAGGAAGCCTCTCCCCAGACTTCCCCGCCCCCAGTGTGGTCCGTCTGTGCTGTTCTGTCACAGACGTGCACGGCAGGGACAGGTGGCTCACGTTTACCGGCGTCACAGCCCAGGGAGCGAGTGTGTCTTCTGCACAGAAGCTCCAGCAGCGTCCCCGGGGGGCCCTTCACTGGCCGGGTTTGTGTCACGTATTGAACTTCAGAGGTGAAGCACAGGTCAGCCCCCCAAGCCGTCTGGCCCAGGGTGGGGAGGGTGCTCCTGGGAGCTGCTACCAAAGGGAAGAGCCACAGAGTCCTGTGGATGGGCAAAATCAAAGATGGCCCCGGTAGGGTGAATGCTTTTCCCATTTGTTTTGAGAGCTCTTTACGTATCCAAGGTGTTCTGGAAGGGCAAATGGCGGGGTGCCGTCCTTGCAGTCCCTTGCCACGAAGCATTGCTGCATAACATCGGCCCAGGGCGTTCGGTCCGGCCGCATTCTCTGGGCATGAACAATGCCACCAAGGGGAAGGAAAAGCTGTGGGTAGACTCCAGTCAGCGGACTGGCATGCAGGAGCTCATTGTCCTTAGTGCCAACGTCACAGGTGAATGCTAAAGCAAAGAAACCATCGCTGCGCCTAATAAAAGACCAGCAGGGCGGATAAAAGCGCCTGTGCTTGTGCAACGACGAGAACAGAATGCCAAGGGTCACTCGTCCAGGTGCAGGTTCCAAGTCCGCACTCAGTCTTACAACTGTGATAAGGAACGCAGCTTTGAACCCACTCACCTTTTGATCAGGCTGTGAACGGAAGGCAAACAGGACGGGCACGACCCCGCCCAGGGGCTGTCCTGCCTGCCGGGGAGGAGCTCACAGGTGGGCCCTGGGGGTGTGGGTGGCGGGAGCAGGTGGGCCCAGAGGTGCAGCTGGCTGCCGCCCTCCGCTCGCAGGGCCTGGCCCTGGCTCTCTCCTCGCTCCTCCCTTCCCCTCCTCCTACCTCTGGGGGTGGGTCCAACACACGCCACGAGGATGTTGTCCCTGTTGACACTTCGCTTCTCCCAATCAGGCCCCAAAGTCACGTCACGTCATGTTTAAACTCCAGGGTAACAGAGCACTGTGGAGTGGGAAGGTTCCGGGGAGAGTGTCGTCCTGTCGGGCCCAGGGAGACACTGCCTTGCAGAGCTGGTTGGGGGAGGGGGTCTGGGAGGTCACAGGGGCTCCGTGGCCACATGACGGCCAGGATGGTGTCCCCACCTTGGGAGAGGCCCCCCCCCCCAGCCCCCCACCCAGGAAGGAGGTGTCGGGGCAGCAGCAGTAACTGGGAGGGGACCTGGGGGGTCTAGGCTGGGGGTCAACAGGGGTGTGAACAACTGGGAGACTCAAACTAGAAAGGGGGACCAGAAAACGTGTGTCCAGTTTCAGAGGAGCATTGTGACGTACAACGCTGTGTACATGTGTGTACATCCACGTCTGTGTGTGCGTCCGTCCTATGCATATTCTGCACACATGTGCACCTGCGCGTACCCACACACACATGCTGGAGGAGGAGGTGGGGGCTCCCCTGCATTGCTCTGACTTGGGGGGATGACATGAGAGGTGGGCGTGGCCCACAAGGCGGCCTGGCAAGAGCTGGCCGGGGTGCCTGTCGCACCCCCACCCAGGGGTGCATGTTCTGCGGGGAGGGGATGCCCCAAGCACTCAGTGGGCGCTCAGCGTGGCCCTGCCGGCTGGGGCACCACATGTCCTGCCAGGGCACCTCGCTGGCTCCCGTGTGAGCACTGCCGCCCTGACCCACACGGGCGGCCGCCTTTCATCCTGCGGGACACGCCGCCTGCCAGGAGGACCTTGGACCCGAGCCCAGTGAGGACCAGAGGATGCCAGCCCTCGCCCGGCACCGCAGGGCCCCTCGCTGCAGGGAGGGTGGGGTCTGGACGTGCAGGCCCAGAGGCCAGCGAGGGCCGCGTCCACCTGGTCCTGGAGCAGGGCCCAGGCCCTCGGCTGTCTGCCTGGGAGGTGGGGCCCGGGAGGGAGGGGTCGGAGCCTGAGTGACAGCCAACACCGAGGGCCAGAGGCCAGAGCAGGGGCCCAGTCGGGGGGAGGGGACTGTGCCAGGAAGCCTGTCCAGCTGATGGCCTGCCCTGGACAAACCCAGACAGCGGCGGCACTCGCGGGCACATGGAGCAAGTACCACTGTGTTAATCGACCTTAAAAATCATGGGACGTGAGGGCCGGGCGCTGTGGCTCACGCCTGTAATCCTAGCTCTTGGGAGGCCGAGGCGGGCGGATTGCTCAAGGTCAGGAGTTCGAAACCAGCCTGAGCAAGAGCGAGACCCCGTCTCTACTATAAATAGAAAGAAATTAATTGGCCAACTGATATATATATAAAAAATTAGCCGGGCATGGTGGCGCATGCCTGTAGTCCCAGCTACTCGGGAGGCTGAGGCAGAAGGATCACTGGAGCCCAGGAGTTTGAGGTTGCTGTGAGCTAGGCTGACGCCACGGCACTCACTCTAGCCTGGACAACAAAGCGAGACTCTGTCTCAAAAAAAAAAAAAAAAAAAAATCATGGGACGTGAGACGCACGGTGTCAGGCCAGCCGGGCTGTCGCACGTCTGCTCGTGGCCATGAGTGGGTGGGTAGCGGTGGGCTCGGAAGAGGAGGTGGGAGGGCGGGCCCAGGGTCCCACTGCCGGACACAGCAGGGCTGGCTTCGAGGACACCCCTGCCTGCTGGGTGCTGCGGAGGCTGGATCCCGGCGGGTCCAGCTCCACGGTCCCTTCTGTCCAGTGCCCCAGCAGGTGACCACCCTCCCCCGGGACCCTCTCCTGCTCTGGCCTGGGGGTCTGATTCCTCGGGCAGTGTGGACGCCGACCCCACTGAGGAGCCTGGCGTGGGTTTAGTTCCTGGCTCGTGTGGACGGCGGCACAGGGACCAGTGAGCTCGCACGAGGTCCTGGCAGGGGGAGGCTCTGGCTGCACGCCAGGTGCCCCCCGACCCCCAGTCGCTGCAGGGTGTCCGGCCGCCCTACACTCCAGCCTGCCTGCTCTCCCGACCCCACAGTTTCTCCCCCAGGCCCACTTGCAGCCAGAGCAGAGCCAGGCCTGTGTCCTCGTCTTCGGGCCAAATTGAAAGGGACGCAGCTGGTGGCTCGTGGGCTCCCTCACGTGCAGGGTGCTCAGGTGACCCTCTCATTCCCTTTCTCCTAGACCTCCCCTGAGAAAAGAACAGCGCTCTTGCAGCACCACAGCCACCGTAAATGTGCTCGGGCAGCGGGGTGGCTCGTGGGCTTGCTGCGCGGTGAGCAAGGAGGTGCAGGCCAGCCCTGCCGGCTCTGGGGACAGAAGCCGGGTCTCAGGCTCTATTTAGAAAGCTGTCCCTTCCACAACGGCTTTGACGAACGTCGATCCGCCTGAGC